AGAGAGAATGCTTTAGAGGCCTGACTTTTGTCTGTGTCTGTAGCTATACAGAGATGAAATAGCATGGGAAAGGGGTTGGCTTTGGGAAGGGGGGACTTCTCATTTTTGTGTTATAGAAGCCAGTATAGCTAGTGTCCTTTAGTGAGCATGTATTTATGCGACTGCTTTCCATAAAAACAAATTGATGTTTGTAAATTCCTTCGCTGCTCAAAGATGAGGCCTGACTTTTGTCTGTGTCTGTAGCTATACAGAGATGAAATAGCATGGGAAAGGGGTTGGCTTTGGGAAGGGGGGACTTCTCATTTTTGTGTTATAGAAGCCAGTATAGCTAGTGTCCTTTAGTGAGCATGTATTTATGCGACTGCTTTCCATAAAAACAAATTGATGTTTGTAAATTCCTTCGCTGCTCAAAGATCTCCCACGAGCCCCTGGGAACTAACAAATGAAGTTCAAACTCCTTAAGATGAACATCAAAGCGTCCCACAAGCTGGACACAAGCTTTCTTCATTCTTTAGCTCTTCCCCTCCCAGCAGCCCCTCCTCCCAGCACACCATGAATTCCTGCCTTGTGCTTCCACTCAGACCACGCCCCTGCCCTAATTCTCTCTGTGAACCTCAATACTGTGCTCATTTTGTGTGCATGTATGGTAATGGGGATTGAACCCAGAACCTCATGGATGCCAAGCAACCTTTTGTCCCTGAACTACATCCCAGACCTACCTTTTTTTTTTTTTTTTTTTTTTTTTTTTTGTCTTTTTGAGACAGGGTCTCCCTGTAGCCCGAGCCGTCCTGGAACTCACTATGTAGACCAGGCTGGCCTTGAACTCACAGAGATCTGCCTGCCTCTGCCTCCCAAATGTTGGGATTAAAGGCATGCACCACCACGCCTGGCCCCCAGCCCTACTTTTATGCTTTATTTTGAAACAGTCTCTCTAAGTTGCCCAGGCTGGCCTTAAACTCAGTCTGTAGTCCAGGCTGGCCTTGAACTTTCAATCCTTCTGCTTCAGCCACTGAGTAGCTGAGATTATACGCCTGTGCCATTAGGCCTGGCTGTGTTCATTCCTTAAGCATAGCTCAGACATAGCTTCTGTTACCTTTCTCTGACCTCATGGCTCTTGGTGCTAAGACCCAGGCTGTTACACATGCCAGGCAAGAGCGTTACCAACCTATGTCCCTAGCCTCAACCACACTTCTTGAAGTGAGAAACTAGTCTGGCATGCCAACTCCCCCCAGAGCCCTGATGCACCTGGCCCATTTCCCTCCCAGGCTTCCCTGTTACCCTCATTCACAGTCTACTTTATAACAGGAACAATCTCAGATATGAATTCTTCAAAGCATTTTAAACATGTTTGCACATTAACCTTAACAAATTTTTTCAAGTGGCTTCACTCCATGAGAGAGGTCACTCTGAACAGCATCTGTGGATATACTAGCAGATCATGGGATTTTGAGACACAAGTCAAGTGTTCTTGGCTCAGGAACACCCAGGTATTTAGCTCTGCCTTTCAGTCTTGTCCCTGAGAATGAGTTGGTTTGTGTCTATGAACTGCAGTCCGGGAGAAGCTCATCCTGGGTCCTTTTTCCCCAGCCTCCGCCATGGAAGAGGATGGGTATCCAACCATCACATCACAATGCTCCAGGGTGTGGGGACAGAGCCCACTGCGAGCCTTGCCCCATCCACCTCCAAGCTTCCCTCCACACAGGGAGCCCTGACAACTCGGATGACTCCAAGGAGGCCACTGTGCTTCCCCAGGTTCCAGGAGTCATAACTTCATAGGAAAAATATTCTTCAAGAAAATAACAAAGTGAAAGCTCAGTGAAGCACAGGGGCCCATGGGAGTCCAGTCAGGGTTTCAAATCACTGTCAATTGCTTTCTTTTGGCTGAATACAGAATTTGTTCTGGCATATTAAATCCCAAGTACCACACCACGTTTCTGAATGGCTTGGCTTCTTTGCAGCTGGTCCTCCTCTCATTAACAAAAAGCAATAACAATCTAAGTTAACTTTAGCTTACCCGCTGGCTGACCCCACTTGACTAGTCTTCCTGGGGAGAAAACCAGCACAGCCTGCCTGCCTTAGAGCTCAGCACAGCCAGGCTGAATGACGCACAGGTCTGAAAGCACACGTGAGCCAGAGTTGTACATACTGGGCAGGCCAGCCCGCAGCACATAAACACTTCACTCCCTACGGTTCACCTCCACAGTCCCAAAGAAGGCCCTGCCACAAGGGAGGATTTGGTCCCCTGGCCTGGGAGCTTTGCCTGATCAGCCTTCAGATTCAAAGGAGTTTTAGGCCCAAGGTGTCAGCAGGGAAGGCTTTTCTCTACCTCCATCTTCCAACATCCACAGGCTGAGAAAACAGGTTTGGGAGGAGGCTTGCCTCAGATACTCTCTCGCAGTGCCAAAGGGAAATGCAGCCCTGCCATCTTCATAAGCACATACTCAAAGCAACACACTTGCAAGCATATACTGACACACAATTCCCCAGCACAGACAGTGACACACTCACAAGCATACATTCATGCCTGTACACTCACACCTATACACAAGTATACACTCACAAGCATACATTCACACTGGCACTCTCAGAAGCATACATTTGTTCATATGTGCATATGAACATGCATAGGCACACTCACCAACACACTCACAAGCACAGCACTGGTGCACACTCACGTGCATGTGCTCACACCAACTCACATTCCTGCTACCCTGGCCCTTTGCCCTAGACCAAGTCCAGTTCTTGGTCTTTCTCAAGGAAATAATCTTACCTTTAAAAGAACTTTATGGACAGGGTTTTATTTATAATAATGTAAAATTGAGGAAGGGATCTAAGTAGGGGGAATTGAGATATTTTAGATGTTACTAAAGAGATTTGAAGCTGGGCCTGGTGGCATAGACCTGTAATCCCACCTACTCAGGAGGATGAGGCAAAGCTTTGCAAGTTCAAAGGTAGCCTAGGTTTCAGGGAGATCCTGTCTTAAAATAAAAATTACAAAAATAATGATAAAAAGATGGACTGGAATGTAACTCAGTGACTGCACACTTGCCTAGCATACATGAGGACCCAGGTTCAATCCTCAGCATAGGGAGTGATGAGGGGAAGGAGGGAGGGAGAGAAAGAGATTTCAGTACCATAGAAAAAGTCACTTTGCTCTTTTAAAAAACCTGTCTTAGAGCACTGGATGCTCTTGAAGAGGACCCAGGTTTGATTCCCAGCACCCACAAAAGTCCTAACTGCAGTTCCAAGGGATCCAACACTCTCTTCTGACCTCTGCAAGCACTGCACAACACAGGTGCACTCGCATACATGCAGGCAATATCATACACATAAAATAAAAATAATAAGATATTTAAAAATAAAAAATGAGCACAATTTACTTTAAAAAAAATCATCTTTTAGGGAAATAAAAGATCCCCAAATGAAGGCCAGGTTCTCCAGGGAACATTTCCAAATTCCTTCTTTCTTTTCCTTCTTTCCATGTGTGCTTTCCCTGTGTCCCAGAATGATCTGAGCAGTTCCTGAGAAAACCATCTACAAGATAGGGCAAACTTAAGAAAGGAGGGAGGGGTGATATTATCTACCACACAGTCTAAATAGGACTTTGAGGGGAGTTCTTCAGGGATCTCCTTGAAACTAGAATTCAGGGCCTATGGAGACACCTGTTGAGATTAAGTTCACAGGGCTAGGGCACTGGATCTGGTGGCTCATCCCTCACAAGGGGGATGAAAAGGAATTCCCGAAGCTGGTCTCCTTCTTGCACCCCTGTCTCCCAGACTCTAATGACTTCCACCCACCGTGCTCACCCTCCCCTTACCTCATGGTCCCACTCCTGAGCCAGTTTTATGGTGACTTGCTCCACTGCCTCCCCCTCCACCCTAGCTGCTGGTGGATGTCTCACACCCTAAACATGGAGCTTAGGCAGGGTGTGTGCCCAGGTGAGGCACCAATACTCTGACTGGCTGGTTCTGGCTGATTGAGGCATGATGTGAGTTCAGCAGGCTGGCCAGGGTGCAGGGCTAAGACATATACTCCTGCCATGCCTCCTGAAGTGTTTCCTAGTGCCTGCCTTGCTGACACCCAAACTGAAGGCTCCAATTTGAGTCACCCCTTCATTCTGTGACCCCTATCCTCATATATGCCATATTTTGCACGCCAGCTGGGAATCCCAGATCTCTGAAGCCTCTCCAGGGGGCATGGAACCCCAAGGTTCTGCATTGCTGCTTCCAGGGACTATCTCTGTACTTAACACCACCCTGCAGGCCCTACGGGCACCTACAACTTCCCTAGCCCTGGCTGTCTACACGCCCTGCCTCAGAGTGAACAGCAGCCCTGGAAGTGACATAGCCAGTAACATTTCATCCTGTAATCCCTGCCAGGAAATAACACTGGTGTGGACAAATTTTGTGCAGGTCCCCCCATCCCCAAGACATCAGCAGGGAAATCTCTCTTTTGAACAGAATGCTGAGCACCTACTTTTGAATACTTCCCATAGGACAGTTACTAAGCACCAAGTCCTGACAGGCTGAAGACAAGAGGTCAGAAAATCAAGGCTCAAGTAGGTGAAGATCCTTGTTGAAGGTCACATAGCTAGACCAGCATCATACCCACAGCCTC